CCTCCTGTTCCCACTACACAAACGCGTTCGTCCTGTATCCCCCTAATTAAGGAAGGCCAGGAGCCCGTCTGCAAACGGGTAGCACAGCAATGGCTCGGTGACGCTCCCCGGCAATGAGAAATGGCCAGATTCTCTCAAGAAAAATGGGGTCCTAATTCCCCTCCCATATTTCACCACCAGTGATTTATCTTGTTACCACAGCTGCGCTTCCATATTAATTCACTCCACGTCCTTTCATCAAAACGTCAGTTTCAATCCTGAACCTCCGATTGGGATTCTAAAAGTAACACAGCACTAATAAGTTTAGAATTTGCTCTTATCTTAATGAAAAACATGGTCTCCCTAAATAAATTGTCAGAGGGGGAAACACTCTTATTGGGCTGCACTGTAAAAACAGCCAAACGCTGAAACAAAGACCAAAGGGAGAACACACTTACAGGCAGTCCATTCACACACACATCGGGGACAGACCTGCACAGGTTCCTATTAGCAATTCGAAAAATCTTTGGCCCGCCATTTTTCTGGATGTATCCTTAGTTTTAAAAATTAGCAAAAAGCTGCACCTTTGTATTGGTGCTCAAGTAATAATGAACTTGGATGGGTATCCATCAGCCAAGAACACCAAGCAGAACTGATTCCACAAAACTAAGGACAGAGGCTGCTCAAGACTGTCCCGCTCAGCTTTGAAGCTGACGACAAAGGAACCAGGACACATGTGAAGTGAGAATGGGGTGACTGCTGACAAGCATCAAGTCAGGCAAAGCGTAAACGTGCAACTTACACGCCTCAAAGACACCTGCCCCACCAACCCTCCGGTTAAATCTGCTTTATGATCCTCACTGTCGACGTTGAGACAAAAAGGAGAATCAGTGACAGCACTGGAGACTGGCTCTCTCACAAGACTGACTTTGCAAATACTTTTTCATATCCCGGGCTACCCTTCCACACCTGAAATGGACGAGCGATCACACACATGGGCATGGCTTGTCAGAACAATTCCTAACACCCACCCAGAGGCTCTCCGGGAGAAGCATATGATGTGAGGGATTATCGGGTGAGTCAACTGACTGTCACACCCACACGGCAATTACCAGTTAGCTCCCTGCAAAGCCAGTTATAAAATACATACAAAATCCAGATCTGGCAGGACTGTACATATTTTCGGTAGTCCATAGCATTTCTATCTCTAAAAAAAGCTACTTTTCAGGGTATATTTCAAATGTAAGCAGATTTTATTTTTTTAAGAAAAGAAAGGATCTTGCCCAGCTGGTAGTCCGGGTTCAATTCCCAGTCAGGGCACATGCCCGGGTTGCGAGCTCAATCCCCAGTAGGGGATGCGCAGGAGGCAGCCGATCAATGAGTCTCTCATTACTGATGTTTCTAACTCTCTCTCCCTCTCCCGTCCTCTCTCTGAAATCAATAAAAACACTTTTTTTTTAAAAAAAAAAAAAAAAGGATCTTAAAAACAGTAAGAACTAAATTCAGATTTCTGAATGCGCAGGAGGCAGCCGATCAATGAGTCTCTCATTACTGATGTTTCTAACTCTCTCTCCCTCTCCCGTCCTCTCTCTGAAATCAATAAAAACACTTTTTTTTTTTTAAAAAAAAAAAAAGGATCTTAAAAACAGTAAGAACTAAATTCAGATTTCTGAATGCGCAGGAGGCAGCCGATCAATGAGTCTCTCATTACTGATGTTTCTAACTCTCTCTCCCTCTCCCGTCCTCTCTCTGAAATCAATAAAAACACTTTTTTTTTAAAAAAAAAAAAAAAAAGATCTTAAAAACAGTAAGAACTAAATTCAGATTTCTGAATATGTTCTCTGTCCTATGAGAAGTATACAAATAACACACACATTTGACAATGCTGAAATAGGTAGAACATCCCTAAAACTTCGTTATGATACTGAACCAACACTATAAAGTTAAGTAAAAGGCAAGACTCAAACAGTGAGGTGGGCAGGTTCTTGGTGTCCAGAGGCAAAGCACTCCTGAGAGGGCCCACATCAGGTAGCCCAATAGAAAAGGCATGACTAGGAGAGAAAGTAAGAGCTTGGCAGAGGTGGGCAGTGAGCAGACACTGACGTTGCAGGCAGGTGCTAATAAACCTGTGAGCCAGGCCAACTCAATTCACACTGTGTCAGTGCTGGGTCCTACGGGGGCCCCACTGGTGTTCCTGAACTGCTCCTGCTTTTCTTCATCTGACAGGCTAACACACTTCCAACCCGTCCTAGAAATTAGTCAGGCAAACCCCAAATGAAAAAATTAGCATATCTAATTTTAGTATTTCTACTGCACAAAACCTACTGACTTTCCCTGAAGGAATTCTACATGATGGTATCAGTTCACTTGCCAGGATTCTCTGAAATAACTTGGGCTTATAATTCTACTGCCAAAAATACATCTTGTAATAGATACCAAGCCAATGTGTAAATATTATTGTATCACTTTAATTTCAAAAAGCATATAAGTCTACTGTACATTACATCTTTGTTCTGTAAAGCAAGGATTACAGAATAGGTGACCTAGAAACTGCCAACTTTACTCTCACCTTTAAATCTCAGTATTTATACAAATGCAGAACAGTCTCATATACACTTCCCAGCCTCACTGCTCATAATCCTCGGCCTCCCACGGAGTCCCCCCTGGAAAAGTCTGGCCCTGCCACGGAGCTGGAAAACTGCTGCAGACCTATTTCAGGACACGCCGTGTTGGGTGGGTTGTTTCCTTTTATTTCTTTCTTGGTAGTAAAAATATCTCGATCCCTTAAATTTATAGGTGAAAAGTACTTGTTTCTAAATGAGTCTTTAAAAAGCAACCAAAATACTCTTTTCACTTGAAAGAAGAAACCCAAAAGGCAGTGTATATATAATTTAAGTCATCAAAGAAATGTAAATTAAGGTTTTGGTTCTATTTTCTGTCTGAACTTTAACTTACAACAATTCTTTATAGGCTCTCAGAACCCACTTTGGAAAAGGAAAGAAAAGGTAGGAATAACTGTCCTGAGAAAATACAAAACACTTCATACTTCAGCTTTGGTTACTAACTTTTGGGTATTTTTCTCTATTGACCTGAAAAGTCTAACTAATTATTAATGTTGGAGAATATGACCAAAAAAAAAGATCTATTCTACTCTTCAGGTGAGTGATTACTAATTGCTGTTGATTATGCTATTTTGGGGGTATTTAGATGAGTGGTATATAAGGTATATGTGTCTGTGTGTATAAAATACTAATACATGCTAGTAGTATTTAATTCATTAGAAAAAGAATCCCTTGAATAAACTAGAGCACATTAAAATATTATAGCATCTAAAATAACTTACTTCTAGAATACTATATTTTTCATGTGCTATGTACCTATTAGACGTGGAAGTGGGGACTGGGGTAGACATTGACTGTATACCCAGTGGTATTAGTAAAAAAAAAAAAAAAAATTAATGTAATAAGAAAGCATCCCTTTTTAGAAGGGAATTATTAATAAAGGAAACAATAAGAAGAGTAAATAAATTGAGCTCCATCCATGGCTAATTGATGCTCTGATTACCCAGTTTCCTTCTGTTTCCACTACCATTCTCAGAAGGCAGGACATATAAAGCCAAAATAATTATTAATTTAATCATTCAGTCTTTTAACATTTAACGAGCAGCTTGTTCATGACAGGTACCTTTGGCTAGATGCTGAGGATAGAAAATGCATGTGCTAAAAGCCTGCCTTTAACGGTGGTTTGTGGGTAAATTATAACACCCAAAATTTATGTGTTGAAGTTCTAATCCCCACACCTCAGAATGTGACTGCACTAGGATACAGGGCCCTACACAAGATAAACAAGTTAAAATGAGGTTATTAGGGTGGTCCCACACCCAATACAACTGGCGTCCTTATAAGAAGAGATTAGGACACGGACATACAGAGGGAAAGTCATGTGGAGACACAGAGAGAAGACATCCATCTACAAGTCAAGGAGAGAGGTCTGAGAAGAAACCTAACATACCAACACCTTGATCTTAAACATCCAGCCTCCAGAACTGTGAGAAAATAGATTTCTGTTGTTTAGGCCACCCAGCCTGTGGTACTTTATTAGGGCAGCCCCAGCAAGGTAATACAAAGGCTCACGTTCCATCCAAGGAGAATGACATGACTGCAGGCAACAGCTATGAAAAGGAGCTAAATAAAGAGATATGTACAAAGCACAAAACAGTAGCCACTCCAGTGTAAGTTGGCTATTCTGGATGTTCTGGTCTGGGGACCTTTTCGAGGTGGAAAAATATCCTAACAAAGCACTGCTACCATTTCCAAGACATTAATAGACTCTAACACATGCTAGGAAGCTTTCCCATGTTATTTCATTTTATCCTCAAGTAGATCTTGCGGTAATTTTGAGTGTGCCCATCTTACAGGTGGAGCAAGTCAGTCTGAAGATAATCAGCTTGTCCAAGATGACCCAGTTAACAACTGAAAGAGCCAAAACTCCAAGCCAGGTCTTCTCAACTCAACATTCAACTCAACTCTCAAAGAAGACCTGGAGGAGGCACCAAGCAAGGCAGACGACGCAATGAAGTTTTAGCAGAGTCTTCTCTCTGAGATGCGTAACTCGGCAGGTTTGCGATGGCCTCTGAACGGCACGCAAGGGGGTGGTAGTTACTGTGCTAAGTCTGCAAACACACTAGCTAGAAAACTTTGCTAAGGTTTCTCCAAGTTAGGCAAAGCCACAATGATGTTTCTGATAAAATGAGGTCAGTATCAGTGGTCATGATTTCAAGGTGTCCTTATTTTTTACTCATTTTAGGGCAGCTCACCCAGGTTCCTCTGGTTCCATCTTCAGGACTTACTACACACAGAGACACCTGCAACAGGACAAAACCATGCACACCCACTGCTATCCTGAGCCCTAAGAGGCCAGGGGGGACTACGGGCAACTGGGAAGGAGCCAGCACAGAGCAGATATTCACTGGAGAGAAAAATGGGAAGGGAGCTCGAACAGAGAAATAAGAACTTATTTACCTGTTTCTTCATCTATTTTAAAAACACCAACACCAGAACCGTCTCTAATGGAATATCGGACCTCCCCATCTCTTCCCATGTCCTCGTCGTGAGCTGACACCTTCATTACTGATGAACCAATAGGGACATCTTCTTTCACTAGACCCCTTTCCACGAAGCTGGAAAACACTGGTGGGTGTAAGTTCTCGTTCACATCAATGACCTCAACTTCCACGTAGCAGGTGGATGACAGAGAAACTGGCTTCCCTTTGTCTTTGGCCCTCACTGTGAGATTATATACTTGCTGCTTCTCAAAGTCCAGCTGCTGTACAATCCTAACTGCTCCGCTGAGCTTATCCACATCGAAGTTTCCGTCTCCATGGTCCAGGAGGCTGTATCTCACTTGACTAGACTGCCCTAAGTCGGGATCATAGGCCTCTAACCACATGATTATGGTTCCTTCGGGAAGGTCCTCTCGAACTTTCACGTGGTAATTAGGTGGAATGAACTTTGGGGGGTTGTCGTTAACATCCTCCACTGAGACTTTCAAAAGTACTGTGGAAAACAGCTGGGGCTCTTCCGTGGCTTGATCCCTGGCTTCGATCTTTAAGTAATGCACCTGCTGGACTTCGGGGTCCAGAGGCTGCACGACTGTCACGACACCGGTCACGCTGTCGATCGAGAACTTATCTGTGTCTGTGAGGATAGAGTACTTGACCTGTCCATTTGGCCCCAGATCTTTATCTGTGGCTTCAACCTGGATGATTTCACTTTGCATCTCCTTATCTTCACTCACTTCAACAAAATAGCTCTCCTGTAAAAACTCAGGGGGATTATCGTTGGCATCCAGAACCCTGACATCTAGAAGCCGCCAAGCGGCCTTCTGTGGTATACCAAGGTCGGACGCCGTAATATTCAGGGTGTATTTGTCTGCTGTTTCACGGTCAAGGGGAGATAAAATTCTTAGCATTCCAGTGTCCATGTCAATAATGAAGCAGCTGTCCTCATTTCCTCCGGAAATAGCGTAGACCAGTTTCCCATTGAAGCCAGTGTCAAGGTCAGTAGCATTCAGGAGAATGACACTGGAGCCCACAGGATGGTTTTCCTTCACCTCAATACCCGCTGGAAGACTACTTCTAAACTGTGGTGCGTGAGCATTGACCGAGTGAGAATCAAAGAAAACGTCCTCCACCTCTCCCTGGTTGTGCAACTTATTTGCCTGCAGGAGTTTCTCTGCCAGCATTTTGGCGACGCCCGTCTCTTCACACTGCAAGCGCACTGGCTTGCGACTGACAGCCACCGTGATGTTGACGTACAATGGCGTGGCAAAATTTTCCCCGTCTGTAGCTGTAATTCTCAGACTGTGAAACGACACCTTTGCCCCTAAACCCTCCATCAGTGACTGCTTTAGTGACAATACCCCGGAGTTGGGATTTAAGCTAAACAAATCTAGTTCATTTCCAGCTTCAATCTGATAGCGGACCAACTGCAGTTCGTCAGCATCGATAGCAGAAACAGTAGTGATTTGCTCTCCCACCCCTAGATCCCTGGGAATTGTTCCTTCACAATTTATTTTCTCAAACAAGGGCGTGTTGTCATTCAGGTTATTGAGGGTAAGGGTAGCAAGGACTTCAACTTCCCGCCGGTACGGCAAGCCCCAGTCCGACGCTCGAATCCTTAGGGTATAAACCCGAGGCATCAGCTCATAGTCCAAGTTTTCTGAAGTGCTCACAGCACCTGTGAAATGGTTGATCACGAATGGCACGGGGTTTAAGTTTGCAATACTGTAAGTCACATACCCGTTCTCACCCTCATCGGGGTCTACAGCACTCACGCTCATGACAGTTGTGCCAATGGGCACGTTCTCGTCAAAAGAGGCCTTGTACGATGTCTGGGTAAATTCGGGGGGATTGCTGTTAGCGCTTAAGACTTTGACCAAGACCCTGGTGGAGGCTTTCTTGTCACCTGTTGTTACTTCAAGTTCAAAATGAGATGCCTGCTGTCTTTTAATTGGTTCTAAAATGGAAATGAGACCGGTGTTGTGATTTAAGCCGAATTTAGCTTTTCCAGGTGCACTTTTGAAAACATACCTCAAATGAGAATAGCTAGGCGTGGCTTTTACCATGACCACAGGGGTGTTGGCAGGAGCCAACTCGCTTATTTCTGCCCTGTACACGTCCTTCTCAAACCTGACTGGCCCAGCTTTGAACCGTGGGGAAGTCACATGAATCACTTTTACAGAAAACTGGGGAGGAGTTCCTTTATCTTTCGCCTGGACGGTCAGATTGTAGCCAAGAGGATGACTGTCCCAATCGATGGCCCCAATCGCTTTGACTTTGTACTCTTTGCTCCCGGAAGGGGACCTCACGATTCTGAACTGTGGATGGGAGTCGCCGGCCACGACGCTTACAGAAGCAATTTCCCCACTGGCGCCCCGGTCACAGTCATCCACCGTCACGACCGCATAGGCGGGGTCCTCGTCCAGCTCCGACGGCGACAGCGTCACGGCCGTGATCACGGGAGCACACTCGTTGGCCTGCTCCACGTGAACCGTGAGCCTGGCCATGCTGCTGATGCCGCTGCTGCCGTACAGTTTCAGGCCGCGGTCCACGGCGAGAATCTCCATCTCATAGAGCTGGGTGTCCCCGGAGTCAAGTCGGCCAGTTAAGACGATCACACCGCTTGTCGGGTGAATCGCAAACATGTCTGTTCGGTCTTTAAAACTGTAGTAAAATTCTCCGTTGGTGCCTATGTCTGCGTCGGTGGCACTGACTCTGGCGATGCTGGTCCTTATGGCCGTGTTGTCGGGTAAAGACACACTGTAGGAGGTGGGCGAGAATAAGGGTCGCAGGTCATTTGTATCCAGCACCTGCACGCTGACCACCGTCCGGGCTTCAGCGTTGGTGTTTTTTTCAACTGCTTTGACGATCAGCGTGTAGTGGTCTCTCACTTCTCTGTTAAGAATCGCCGTGTTTCCTCCTTTGGTCCTTACTCTTAGAAAGCAGAAGTCCCCAAGAACGTACTCTTCGGCTTTGAATAGGTTTTCATTGTCTCCCGAGACAATTCTGTACCTCAGTTCCCACGATGGATGGGCAAGGTAGATGCCCATCTTTGTAGGGTGCCCCACGTAGGTTTTGGCCGCAGAGTTCTCGTGCACAGTGACATTGTACTGGGGCTGTGTAAACTGCAGAGGAGGCTGCTCAGGTGTCTGGCTTCCAGCACTGTCTCCAAAATGCTGTAGGAGCAGCAGCAGCAGCAGGAGCACGGCCCAGTGTCGCCCCATCGCGCCGCTCTCAGGAACCTGAAACACAAGGGGGAAAGGAGAATCATCACTTTGGGGAAAGAAAACCAAAACAATGTCGTTTTTTCTTTTATAGTTTGTTTCAGACCTTACATTTTAACAAAGCGTTTTCCATCTTTGCGGAATACGAATAAAAGCAGTGGTTTTAGATTTTTTTCTGTTTTCCAATATCAGTACCAACACTTCTTATTTGTCTGGAGATATTAAGTTTAAGAACACTTTTTTCACATTTTAATAGCTCAAGTTAAAGAATCCTAATGAACATCAGATGAAAGACTGCCAACTATAACTAAAGTGTATTCTTATACTTAAATCTTCAAGGCAAATAAAGCAATTATTAAACAAGTACATTGTTTTCATTTACTTACATACAACAAATGCTCAAAAGCTCCCCAACTTAATGCTACTACTGCATCCTGAACATAGGAAGCTTCAAACAATTAATTTAAAACAAAACAAAAAAAAACCTGACAATGGTTTTATACAACCTCCCATAACGATAACTTGTAATTTCATCTCAAAATTTATCCTGAAATTGCCTGGTCGGAGTGGCTCAGTGGTTGAGTGTTGATCTATGAAGCAGGAGGTCACGGTTTGATTCCTAGCCAAGGCACATGCCCAGGTTGGAGGCTCGATCCCCAGTAGGGGGTGTGCAGGAAAGCAGCCGATGATGATGTTTCTATCTCTCTCTCCCTCTCCCTTCCTCTCTCTGAAATCAATAAAAACATATTTAAAAAATAATTTTATCCTGAAATTATTTCTTTACATCATTAAGTTCACTCCCTACATAATGTAAGGGTTTACTGTCTCAATAATATATAACAACTAAAGTGTATTAAAATAATTATATCATTCAAGTGTAATACCAAGGTCATTTTTGAACCACCCCGAGCCCAAAAAAAGTCAGTTTACAGAAGGAAAACCTGCAGCTCATGATGAACAGAACTTTTCCTCTCTAAGCCAGCGAAGCACATCTCACCAACCATATTAATGTTTTATCACCACTGTTGTCAATAGCCAGCGGTCAGAGTGTCTACTGTCCTCGGGGCACTGAACAACCTGTCACCTGAGCACAAGACACACACACACACAGAGCCAAATCAGCCAAGGTCATGCAGGTAGAGGGTCCAATCAATGCAACAGGTGGCAGGCACTGCAGGTCAGAGGGAGAGGTCGGGAAGGGAGGCAGTCCACGGGCTGAGGTCTGGCAAGGGAACAGGACGATTATCTCCGGACCATCTGTTCCCCTAAATGCCAACAAACTCACCTTGTAACTAAATGTAGCTTCACACAACATGCCAGCACAGAGAGGAGAGGGCGGCACTGTTCCCTTGGCAAAGGGACCCGCGAATGAACGTTCACGAAATGTGACTGCCACCCACGGTGAGGGACGGCAGACTGGAGGGCGGGATGAACAGCCAGGTGGAAAGAGTACGGCAGCATTAACTGACACATCTTAGCTCGGCTGGCTACTGCCAGCGTCGCCCCGTTACTCACTTCATCAGGGGAAAACAGAGAAGACCTGAGAGCAGCTTAACTGATACTGAGTCACGTTCAAGTTGGGCACCCAAACTCGTTCCTTAGATATCATCATAACCTTCAGCTCCGCAGAGAAAGTAGGGTAATTAGTCCGATTTGTGGCCGCACGAAGGAGGATTCTCATTTCAACAAAATAACAGAACAATTTCCTCCCAGAACCATTTCTTAATTTGGTCAACAGTTCTAAAACTCAGGGAAATTTGAATATTTTGTAATGATCCAGTACTTTTATCAAAACAAATGAAAACTTCAATTCCACCTCCAGGGACTGACAGCCAGCTATGGGACAGACCATGCAAGGTTCATGGAGTTACAGATGCTTTTAAAAGACAGAGATCCCCATCCTGAGGCATTTACAAACTAGGAGTAAATACGTATATATACAAAATGCTTTCAAGAGCAGCTAAAAAGGTGATGTGAAACAAGCACTGTCTTTGCTTTAGGAAACATATTATAAGTAGTATCCACTTTACAACAAAGTATTATACCAGGATTCTACTGTAAGCAATTAAAATATTTTTTCTTAATCCTACCCATAAAATATTATGCATTAAAGAGAGTAAGACAGCATTCTATATGTTGGTGTGTAAAGATGTCCACATATATAGTAACTGGAAAAGCTAAACTGACCCCATGTATGTTTGCAACAAAAGGGAAGGGAGATGAATTGTGTGCAGAATACATCAATGTGCTTAAAAATGAAAAGAAACATTCTGGACACAGATAAAAAATAAACTGTTAACTGTGATAACTTCTGGAGAACAGGCGGCTGGAGAAATGTTTACACTTTCACTTTTCTATCCGAATTTTTTGACATAAGCATATGTTTTATCTTTATCATTTATTCACTCTCTCATCAATTATCTAATTCAGTCAATGAATATATAATGAGAAACTACTATGTGCAGGGAATAGTTGTAGATACTGGGGATACTAAAGTGGACCAAACAACCTCCCAACACATTTCCTGGTGATACATTTCCTGGTGAAAAACAAGCAAATGGAGTATATCAGACACTGACCATTAAGTGCGAAGGAGAAAAATAAATAAAGCAGGGCAAGAGACTGGTCATAACCAGAAGGGAAAGAGGGATCCCTAAATCAAAAGGACCAGGGCTTCTCAGCACTATTGACATCTTGGGATTTTTTTTGGGGGGGGGGGCTTTGAGAGCTATCCCGGGCATTATAGGATGTTTAGTATTATTCCTGGTCTCCACCCACTCAAAGCCTATAGCATCACCTTCCCACCAATTTAAAAGTATCTCCAGATATTGCCAGATGTCTCCTGGGGCTCAAAATCCCCTCCAGTAGAGAAGCCTAGTTAGAGAATCAAGAGACCCCTGTGGCTAGGGAGCATGGGTGAGGGGAGGGCAGTAAGGAGGACCTTTTTTAATGTCTTTTAATTTTAGAATAGTTTCAGATTTGCAGAAAAGATAGTTTCCCCTATTGTTAACATCTCACTATTTAAATCCTAATGCCCTTTTTCTGTCCCAGGATCCTACCCAAGATCACCGCACTAAACTGAGTCGTCATATCTCTGGTTCCTCTGGACTGTCAAGTTTCTCAGATTTTCCTTGTTTTTAATGACCTTGACAGTTTGGAGAAGTGCCGGTCAGGTATTGTCCCCCAAATTGCTCACTTGGCTGAAGGAGTGCTTGCCAGGTTTCTCCACAATGAAGTTACTTCCCTTCCCTTTCCGTACCATTTAGAAGGAAGCCACTATGCTCAGCCCACACTTAAGGCATGGAGACTTCTGCTTCATCAATTACTGAGAATTCTCCTACAGGGGGGATTTGTCTCCTCTCTCCCATCTGGGTATGTATTCAGTCATTCCTTTAGATCAGTATGAACTCATGGATTTTGAACAGACAGGGAGTGACATGCTCTAACGTAAGTGAAAAGGGGGCCTCTGGTACCTGTGCTGGGAACAGATGCAGGGGGCCAGGGCAAAAGCTGGAGGGAGACCTTTCAAGGTGAGAGACCACAGTGGCTTAGCCCAAAAAACGGTAATGGTGGAGGTGGGGAGAAGTGATCAAATTGTGGATCTATTTCAGGATTTGCCGATGAACTGGAGAGGCGGAGGGGAGGAGAGGAAGAGAGAGGCATCAGAGAAGATTCCAAGGACGGTGTGCTGAGCAGGAAAAACGGAGCTGTCAGGTCCTGAAAGAGGGGAGACTGAGGGAAGAACAGGTTTAGGGAGTAAGATGAGGTTCGTTTCAGACCAGTCAAGGTAGCAATGCCAGCTGGAAAGATAAGTGGGCAGTCAGATGCATGGGAGGGGTCCCTCCTGGAGACATAAACGTGAGAATGATCAGAATAGAGAAGCTGGTATTTAAAACCACAAAATTGAGATCACCGGTGGACCAACAGATGGAACACAGATAGAAAAGAAAATGACCCCCACTGCTCCCCAAGATTTAGAGGACAGCTAAGGAGAGGACCCAGCAACGGAGACAGCAGCTGAGGTAGAAACAGGGAACAGTGGTGTGATGGAGACATTAATAAATCTTTTGATTTATCTAATACCAATCTGAAGCCTGACATTAGAACTTAGATAAGAATGACCCATAAGTACTGGCTGGTGCCATGCTGCACACCCCACCCTCTGCCACTGAGAGGCCCTGGACACCCCCTTCACCCCAGGTCACTAGGGAGACACCCAACATGTCAAGTTACTGCAGCTGTTTGCTGGCCATGGCATCTCAGCCACTCGGTCTGACCACAGCCTCAGCCACTACCCACTTCTCACAACTGGATTCCCAGCACCTTGGTCTCCTTTCACAGCTCACCCACCACACTTCTTGTGGGGCACATGGCAGCTGGAATGAACTTTCTGCACCACATTATTAACGAAGACCCTTAAAAGCCCCGAATGTTCCGGGCAAAGTTGGCTAACAGAATGCCACTGTAGGGAGATTACATTATTAAGTGCAGTTCTTTGGATCAGAAAAAAGTCCACTTTTTAGGAGATACTGTTAACTTTACAGTAATATAACCAACAACTATGAACTCGGGTTTCACTATAAAATGCTATGATCAAAACACAAACAACAAACAAACGAAAAAACTATGGCTGCTACTCTATGCATAACAAACAATAAAGATGAAAGGAAAGAAATAAGACACTAGCCCGGCCGGGCATGGCTCAGCAGTTGAGCGTCGACCTGGGATCCAGGCGATCGGGGTTCGATTCCCAGTCAGGGCACATGCCCGGGTTAAGGGCTCCATTGCCAGCTGAGGGCCTGCAGGAGGCAGCCGATCAATGACTCTCTCTCATCACTGATGTTTCTCTCTCTCTGAAATCAATAAAGATATATTAAAAAAAAAAAAAAAAGTAAGATACTAACACCATTCCATCTAAAAAGTCGAAAAAGTACATCACCTAGCATGCAGCTTATGAAAATTTAACTCCAAAGCCATTTAGTCAAAGGCTACACTGTGATATCTAGAAGGTGATCAGC